GAAAATATTTTAGGCTTTGCTGGCTACATGTGATCTCTACCAAATGTTCTTTGTGGAATTTTACTTCTGTTTTTGTTTTTTTTAATCCCTTTAAAAATTTAAAAACCATTCCTAGCTGGAGTCCCTACGCAGACAGGCCACAAGCCAGATTTGGCCCCTGGCCAGTAGTTTGCTGAGCCCTGCTGTAGATCAGTAATGTCCAATAGAAACATAGTCTGAACCATATATGTAATTTTAAATTTGCTAGTAGCCACATTTATTTCAAATGTAAAACTGTGAAATTAATATTAATAATATATGTAACCAATTATATCCAAACTGTTACATTTCAGTATATGGCACAAGCCACAATTCAAGGACTCGGTAGCCGTGTGGATTGGACAGCACCCTATGGTCAAAGTATGGCTCATGAACTAGTGCCAGTCTGCAGTTTGTTACCAGTAGGAATCATTCTGTGAAGTTTTTAAAAAGACCTAATAAATGGCTCTTCATCACCGACTGTTTAAGAGGCACTGCTCCAGACCCTCTCTCCTGAGATTCCGCAGGCCTCTTGTGGATGTGACAAAATAAGAAGAGAAGTGGTCGAGATGGTGGCAGATCCCACCAGCCACTACTCAGTGTCCTTTGCTTGTCTTCCAGAGCTACTGTTGGAGCCGATGACTCCAGGCGAGTAGTACTCTCTTGCTGTATTCTTGAATCGCCTAGAGAGCTTTTTTAAAAAATAGTGTCCAGGCCCAACTCTAGACCAGTTAAATTGGAATCTCTTGGGAGGGAGCCTGTGTCATGTATTTTGAACAGCTCTCCAGGTGATGAAATATGCAACCAGGGCTGTGGTACAGATTCCTCACCCAGGAAATCTGTCCTGTCTCCATTTAGAAAGAATCACCAAGTCTAGGCGGGGAACTTTCTAGATAGTAACAGTCATTCTCTTTAACAATAAAATTGGGACTTTCCAGTTAAATGTGTCAGATTACAGATGCCCTGGCACACACTGCCTGTAGTCCCAGCTACTGGGGAGGCTGAGGTGGGAGGATCATTTGATCCCAGGAGGTGAAGCCAGCCTGGGCAATATAACAAGAGGATATCCTTCCCACCCTGTCTCTGAAAAGAATTAACTCATTATCTTTACTCCATGCTGAAACCCCACTAAAATGAAAGTAAAAGAATAAAAAAGGTATAGAAGTCATTAAGTCTACAAGTAGAAAGCAAACAAGAGAGAAGACAGACTGGCCAGTGAATTTTGGGTGGAAGCAGGTAGCAAGAAATTAACACTGCTGAGAAAGTTAATCTAAGGGCTTGCAAAGGAGGATGTGGAAAAGAAGCAAACTAGTGATACTACTTACTTAGAAATTAGAAGAGCCAGGTCCTTCAGAAGGTGAGGGCACGAGTGGTTGAAAATCTATATGTGTCAGACCCTGGGAATCCTGTACCCTGTGCAGCCAGGAGACCATTGTTCCTTTACCTCAGTTACAGCTAGAGGTTCAGAGCTTGGGGAGATTCAACCCGAGAGGTTTAGTCATAGCCAGAGTTGAGATTCCTTTTGAAAATAAGGACATCTTTTGAAAAACAGGAACTAAATGAAGGGATCAGGTGAAAATGAATATTGAGGTTAAAACCTCACCATTCCCCTCCCCCATTCTCAGAACATGGCAGCCAGGAGGTTAGAGCTTTTCTCTCTGGGTTAATTCACCAGCCAGGAGGCAGAGCTTACAGATGCTGAATTGTGTGGAGCCCCTGATACACAAACCATCACCCTGGAGTAAATCCAACCAGTTGACAAACCCCACCTATGCAGGCAGAGCTTCTAATCAGCATTTTAGTGCTGATGGGCAGCCAGGAATCCTCAGACACCAGTGAAAGCCTCTAAAATGAAAAACAGAGGCCTAAAGATTCAAAATAAAAAGTCCTGAGAAGACACATTAAAATATTTAGGTGTTAAAAAAATGAAAACGAAGAAAACAGTATCCTCAGAGAAATGAGATGGTGCATCCAGGAAACTGGAATAGGATACTGTTTATTAAAGGGAACACTGAGAACAAGAAAGTGATCTTGGAAATTAAAATTGTGATAGAAAAAATTATAGCTGCAATAGAAGTGTTGGAAAGTGAACCTAAGGAAATTTACCACAAAGTAGAAAGGGAAGAGGAATGCAAAACAGAAAGAAAAGACAGGGTGATCAGAAGATGTACATGGAGGTCTAGTGTCTAGTGAGAAGCACTTTCAAAAGGGAGGTGGGGGTAGTGGGGAGAACATTAGAGGGACCACAGCAAATGAGAAGAAAGCCCACGCCAAGGAGAAGGAGCTATGATGTGTCAGAAAATAAAAACAAGTCACATCCTGAAGACTGATAACTAGTGTAGTGTTGAGCTTTTCAACAGCTACATACTAGAAAGCTACAAGCAGTGGGGTAATGCCCTCAAAATTCTTGAGAGTAATCGTTTTTCCAACCTGGAATCTTATTCTGAAAGAATAAAAAACAGGGTGAAATGAACGTTTCCATGAGAGAGGTCAAGGAAATTGCTAGTATAGGGTAAAAGAGAGTTGTAGGACACCACAGGTAGACACTGTTGACCTCAGAGAGTTGTGTTACAATTCTGTTAAAGACTGTGGGGGAAGAATGCAATAGGAACAGAAAACCAAGCAAACAAAAAGAGAGAGGTCCTCCAGGAAAAACAAATGATGCCCAAGAAATGGAAAGTGGCTTTACCTATACAACATACACATGGTTATGATGAAAACACTAAATATTAGTTTAACCAAAAAATGTACCTTTAACTATTTGTTGTTGTTTTATTTTTTATTTTAAAGATGTAGGCTACAATTCAGGGTTAGGTATACAAATGTTCATTATACAGGTACCCTTGATGATGAGGTGTGCCGCTCCCTCCCCTGGCAATTTCCCTCTGCCAATCCCACCCCCCACCCTCTCCCAGCAGTCTCCCACTACTGCCAATCCCTGTCTTATAGTATTATGATAATTGTTCAAGGTTCACTTATGAATGAGAACATATGGTACTCTGTTCTTTACCTTTAACTGTTTTGAGGAGGAGGAGTAAGGAAAAATAAATACTGAAGCTGTGGTTAAAACAATATAAAACCTTCATCTTCCATAGTGTAAAGTCAGTAGATAATGTCTAAAGCTGAAAAATCAACAAATAGCAACATGCATATGTTAGCTAGAAATGGTGAGGAAAATACCAGCAGCCACAGCCAAAAGAATTGAAAATAATTTCCTTGGTTCCCTGAGAATGGGAATCAAGGATAGGCAGGCGGTACTGTTTTTTGTTAGAAGCTTTGTTAGTAGTATTAGACATGGAAACTATAAATTTATAGATTAGGTCAGAAAAATAAAAACAACTTGAAAGAAATGAGAAGAAAACAACTAGGAAAGAATGGAGCTAGGCTAGTAGAAGAGCACACCTACAAAGAAAACAGAGTCATAAAGAGTGTGGCAGGAATTCAGGTATGTTAAAGGGACTATGAGCATGGAACTGAAATCTTAATTTAAGAAGACGTGTTAGCAGGGCATGTGAACGGTGTCGGCCTCAAAAAAGACTTCCAAGAAAAAAGTTTTTGCAAGAGGAAGGAGACAGGATATTCTGAGATAGACTTTAATGAGACTTCATAGATCCATATAATAGACTTTTTAAAAAATTATTTTATTTTTAAAATGGGTACAAATGAGGGTTGGGTACATACATGGTCATCATACAGAGTAAAGTGTGGGTACCCTTGCTGATGTTATGTGTCCCCCCCCGCAGTGTCCCACTACTGCCAACCCCTTTCTTATGATAAATGTTCAAGGTCCACTTATGAGTGAGTACATGTGGTACTCAGATCTTTGTTTCTGTGTAAGATCACTGAGTATTATAGACTCTAATTCCATCCAAGTTACTGCAGAGTTCATAATTTTGTTTTTCGTTACAGCTACATAATATTCCATCATGCAAATGTCCCACATTTTCTTTATCCAGTCTACTTTCAATGGGCAGCCTGGTTGGTTCCATGTTTTTGCTATTGTGAATAATGCTGCAGTAAGGCATACTTGTGCAGGTATCTTTATTATAGAGTGATTTGAGTTCCTCCGGGTATATTCCCAGAAGGTGAATTGCCAGGTCGTATGGAAGGTTGATAATCAGAGTTTTTAGAAATTGCCACACTATTTTCCAGAGGTTGTACTAGTTTATATTCCCACCAACAATGTAAAAGTGTTCCCTTTTCCCCTCATCCTCTCCAGCATCTGTTGTTTTTTGAGTTATTGACGATGGCCATCCTGACTGGAGTTAAGTAGTATCTCAGTGTGGTTTTAATTTGCATCTTCTTTGATGATTAGTGAGGCTATCCTCCCCCCTCCCTCCCTCCCTCCCTTCCATCCTTCCTTCCTTTCACCTTACTACTCACACTGCATCTTCAAAATCATAGATAAAATTGGACACATTGTAAGGTAGGGAGGGGTAATATGGGGTTTTTATAGGTAATTAACCTGCAAATCTTAGCATAGCAGGGAAGGGGTTAAGTGAAATTGGGGAGATTACCACTACCACAAGGTAATTGCAGTGTGTTACATAAGTGTGGACCTGGTTCTAACTTTGAAAAGCTAGATAGAAGTGCGCTTCAACAATACAGAGCATATTTTGTTTTTGTAATAGTCAGAGTAAGGAGACAGAAATCAATGTGGGTATGAAATTAGGTTGACGCATGGGAAAAAGAATGTTTAATTTGGGGGGGGGGCTTATTTTCTTCCACCTGAACTCAGCATATTCTCCCTGAAAGGAAATGGGAAGTGAGGACTGGCTTGAACAAGGTCAGTGCTACTGAAGGGCCTGGTGGCCTCACCGCCCCACCCCCACCCCAGGACATTAGCCGTCCCTTTAGAGAGCGATCAGGCAAATTCTTGACCGGCATCACTGAAATTCCCAGTGAGAGTGGGTACTGCCTTTTCTGTCTTCTCATGCCACTCTGATTTGTGTATTTTTCTCCTTTTCCTGTTTTGTCTTTAGATCTTATAATCGATGGATAAAGTGGGGAAAATGTGGAATCACTTCAAGTACAGGTGTCAGAACCTCTTCAGTCATGAGGGAGGAAGCCGTGGTGAAAACATGGACGTGAACGCCAACCGGTGTTTGTCTGTCAAAGAGAAAAGCATCGGTGTAGGAGACTCGGCTCCTCAGCAACAGAGCAGCCCCTTCAGAGAAAACACTGCCTTCCAGCTGGGAGTGAGCCCATCCAAGAGCTCTGCAAGGAGAAGCCAAAACTGTGCCGCTGAAATCCCTCAGATTGTTGAAATAAGCATTGAAAAGGATAATGATTCTTGTGCTGCACCAGGAACAAGACTTGCACGAAGAGATTCCTACTCTCGACATGCTCCGTGGGGTGGGAAGAAAAAGCATTCCTGTTCTACCAAGACCCAGAGTTCATTGGATACTGATAAAAAGTTCGGCAGAACTCGAAGCGGACTGCAGAGGCGAGAGAGGCGCTATGGCGTGAGCTCCGTGCATGATACAGACAGTGTTTCCGGCAGAACCATGGGGAGTCGCTCTCTCCGCCAGAGGCTGCAGGAGACTGTGGGCTTATGTTTTCCCATGAGAACTTACAGCAGGCAGTCAAAGCCTCTCTTTTCCAATAAAAGAAAAATACACCTTTCTGAATTAATGCTTGAAAAATGCCCCTTTCCGGCTGGCTCAGATTTAGCGCAAAAATGGCATTTGATTAAACAGCATACAGCCCCTGTGAGTCCACATTCAACTTTTTTTGATACGTTCGATCCATCTTTGGTTTCTACAGAGGATGAAGAAGACAGGCTTAGAGAGAGGAGACGGCTTAGTATCGAAGAAGGGGTCGATCCCCCTCCCAATGCACAAATACACACATTTGAAGCTACTGCACAGGTTAATCCGTTATATAAACTGGGACCAAAGTTAGCTCCTGGAATGAGTGAAGTAAGTGGGGACAGTTCTGCAATCCCACAGGCTAGCTGTGACTTGGAAGAGGATACAACCACCCTGTGTTTGCAGTCGCGCAGGCAGAAGCAGCGCCAGGTGTCTGGAGACAGCCATGCCCACGTGAGCAGACAGGGTGCCTGGAAGGTCCACACGCAGATTGATTACATTCACTGCCTCGTGCCTGATTTGCTTCAGATCACAGGGAACCCCTGCTACTGGGGAGTGATGGACCGCTATGAAGCAGAAGCCCTTCTCGAAGGGAAACCTGAAGGCACGTTTTTGCTCAGGGACTCGGCCCAAGAGGACTACCTCTTCTCTGTGAGCTTCCGCCGCTACAACAGATCCTTGCATGCCCGAATTGAGCAGTGGAATCACAACTTCAGTTTCGATGCGCACGACCCGTGTGTATTTCACTCCTCCACTGTAACAGGACTTTTAGAACATTATAAAGATCCCAGTTCTTGCATGTTTTTTGAACCTTTGCTTACTATATCACTAAACAGGACTTTTCCTTTTAGCCTGCAGTATATCTGTCGTGCAGTAATCTGCAGGTGCACTACGTATGATGGAATTGATGGACTCCCTCTCCCATCGATGTTGCAGGATTTTTTAAAAGAGTATCATTATAAGCAAAAAGTGAGGGTTCGCTGGTTAGAACGAGAACCAGTCAAGGCAAAGTAAACTCTCCTGCCCAAAGGGTCTGAACTGGGTCTACTTTCATGTGCATCAGACAGTACACCTATAGCAAGCACACATATCAGTGCTAGGTTTCTTCACACAGTACGTAGGGTGTAAGTGTTAGTGTCTGTCAGATGCAATCTGCGTTACTTATCCAGATAAACGTGGTGCCTATTGGAACAACAGGGGAGAGAGCAACAGGTGTTCAGTAAGACGACAAAAACACTTTGCCAATTTAGCTACCAGTTTGGTTTTTAATGGCTGTAGTAATTGAGTGAGGCAACTCTGGGGCATTTGCTATGAAGAATTCTATTTCTTACTGAAGAACACATTATTAATATCGGATGAGTATTTCAACAGTGTGACTAATGTTTGAAATTATTTTTTCTAAGAACTTTTCTATAACCTTCCAAAAGTAGTGATGTTTGTAGTTACTATAAATCAAGCTTTGGAAGTCCAAATAAATAAAAAACTGCCTTCCTTTTAGAGAAAAAATGCAATTTTCTGGCCACAAGGGCATAGTGCAGTTCACGTAAGTGTTGATGTAGGTTATAGCAGGCTCCTTTGTCTTCTGCAAAAGGTACTGTTAAGTAAACCAGGTTTTCTAGATAGTTCTTAAAAGTTTAGACTTAGAAAGTTAGCAGTAGAATTTTATTTAAAGGCCCTAGGCAGTAACTTTTTGAAGTGCTTTAACTTGAAACAGGTATTTGGAATAGCTGCTGCAATGTAGTCCTGCTTGTATTTTGTTTTTTCATTTGACGTGCAGTCTAATTGTTGTTTCATAAAAGTTGAATCTTTTCCTATGCCTGTGATGCGTTTGTGAACCATGAAGAAAATGAAACTAGAAGTTGCCCAAACAAGTCAGATAATAGTAACTACAGTGGTTGCTGGTGTTGAGATTATTTTTAAACTGTAAGAATCCAGATGGAAATATTTATCTCTTCATTGTAACTCTCCTAGCTGAGTTGCTTAAGTCTAATTTATAGAGTTTCAGCACAGTTAATTCTTAATGGAAAACTGAAACCTAAATTGCAGATTTAAAAGGTACTGTACGACCGTTATATCTGTAAATAACTTTACTTAGCACCTTTTTGTCACTTAGAAAAATATGTACTACTACTTGAGTGAGCTCTTTTGGAAGTTATATCAAGTTCTAGTGTTTGCTTCTTAGTAACTGAACTGAGTTTACAGTTCCGTCCTAGACATTTTGCACTAAAGTAGCCAAATTCATTCTTGTGTCTTTTGTTAATAAGCTCTGTACCACTGGTGAGTGCTCCCTAGTTTCCTTACCTGCTGCTACAGAATGTTACTTTACATCCCTATGGCTATTGCCAAGGCTACAAAACAGAAAAGCTATATTTGTATGCAACACTAACCTTTTGACTGCTAATGTATGTTTCTGCTTGCTGTGCCTTGTTATGGCTGCTTTTTTGTGCTAATAAAGTATGTTTGGTGTTCTCCTTGTATATCTGCTATTTTATACATTTGCAACAGTTTATCTTGTAAATGGAATAGTTTGGGGTTTTTAAACAAGTATTAACTGGCAACCTGCTCTAGTTAATGCAGTTACTGTACAGTCTAATAATGACTTATCAGAATAAGTTAACTCTAAATTTAATGCTCTACATCTATCAAACATAATCACATATACTGTGGAACAGTATTTATAGTTACTGCAGATTACTGTACAGTTTAGACAGTTTAGGTTTATAACAAAACTAACAGAGAAATAATAAACCTATTGATTTCTCTGCTTGTAAGTGAAAGATTGAAATGACATAGCAAATGATTATCTGTAACCTCCCTTTGCATAAGAAACAGGTTAAATGAAGTCTTGTGAACTGATAATACATCGGTACCATTTATTGGTTTGGGGACCATTTTAATTGATAACAAATGCCCAAAATATAGAACTTGTAACCAAAGACTTGTCCATTTTAAAGCAAAATGGGGATCGAAGGGACTTGCAGTTTGTGACATTTCTAATAAAAGTCCCTGAAGAACATATACCAAAGTGTTTGAGAACTTCATCCAAACCTACTTTTAAAGCATTATGTGCAATTAAGTTGTTATGACATAATTATATTGCATAAATGTTGAGTCTGTTTTCTTGAGCTTATAATGTACCTGGAAAATAAACCTCTTGAGAAAAAAACAAAGTTCATACTGATTATTGAAGAAGGACTATATGTGCGAGCAAGGTCGTGTTTTAGAAAGGAAACTTGAAACTCCAAGAAAGCACTTGATGTTTTTATATGCTTGTCGCAAATTGATGTTCTAACTGTAGTTTCAGAAAGTATTAATGCTTTTATGTATTTCAGAACTTTCATATGTTAAATGGAAATTGTTTTGAATGTGTAACTATTTGAGTTTATGTAAGCATGTGTATACTGTGCTAAAGGTCATTTGTGTTTCAGTTTGTGTACAATATTAATATGCAACTTTTGGTTTAAAATTTTTTCTTAAAATATTAGTGGCTTACATTTTAAAAAGAAAAATCACCAGCATGAAATTGCACCTAAGTCTATATTCACTGTGTCCTTTTTTTGAGTTCCATTGTAACCTGTCAACTAAATGTGAAGTTCTTACGGTCTTTTTTGAAGTGCATTTTAATACAATCTAGGAAATTCTTCCGCAGCTGGGACATATCTTCATAGTGAAGTAATTAACCCAAGAAAAGGTTGCTTCGATTCATATCCATTCTCATTCATGCTCTCCCTTCCCCTACACACACACACACACACACACACACACACACACACACACACACACCCCTCTTTATATATGTGTGTGTGTTTAAATACATGTATATACATTATATAATGTATACGTATTTACACACATGCACATTTATGGTGTTAGAAATTACTTTAGACAGCATTACCACCTGGTTTAAAATTACTTAGAGGCCTTATTCCATAGCTATTAAATGAGAAGCATTTTTGTACCAAATTTTATTATCTGCCTTGCTACTACTATATAATTTTGTTTGTCAGATAACCTTACAAACAAAGAACTCATCAGTATTTTCTTTTCTGGTTAATCACAGTAAAAAATTTATTTGAAGAAATAGCTTGGTTTAAATGCAGTCATTAAGAGTCATGATTAAGCTGGGCTCAGTGACTCAGCCTGTAATCCCGTGCTTTGGGAGGCTGAGGTGAGTGAATTGCCTGAGCCCGAGGGTTTGCGACCCACCTGGGCAACTTGGAGAGCCCTCATCTCTACAATAAATCAAAAATTAGCCAGGTGTGGTAGTGTGTGCCTGTAGTTCCAGCTACTTGGAAGGATCGCCAGAGCCCAGCAGGTCGAGGCTGCAGTGGCCGAGAGCAGCCACCGCACTCCAGTCTGAGTGACAGAGTGAGACTCCAACTCAAAAAAAAAGTCATAATTAGGCTGGATGAGGTGACTGACACCTGTAATTCCAGCACTTTGGGAAACCAGGGTGAGAGAATTACTCAAACCCAAGAAGTCAGGAGCAGCACAGGCAACATAACGCGACCTCATCTCTGCAAATATAGAAATATTAGCCAGGCATGGTGGCATGAGCCTGTAGTCCCGGCTACTTTGGAGGCTGAGATGGGAAGGTCACTTGAGTCCAGGAGTTCAAGGCTGCGGTGAGCTGTGATCTCTCTCTAGCCTGGGTGACGGAGCAAGATTCTGTCTCCTTAAAAAAAAAAGTCATAATTTATATTTCTTAGACAAAAGTTGAGCTCAAATAATTCTACACAAGCCAATCTGTGTTTTTGTGTTCTTTTATAAGATTTATAATAACCTGAACCACAAAGATTGATACTTTAATTCTAGGCTTCATTTTGACAAAATCCAAAGCTTAGGAACTTTTTCATTGGACACTTTGATCTGGCTGCCATTTTTATCCCAAAGCTTCCTTTTCTTCCTAGCACTAAACACTAATTTGGTAAGTTTTATTGAGGCTGGTCTTAAATCTCAGCAAACAGCAAAAAATTGCTTTTTGGTAGAGGCAAAGAGCCTGTGAGTGAGTCAGGACCCTCCTGAGAAAGATACAAACCAGATCCAGTCCTGAAAATGTGTGAACACGGAGCAGGCAACAGCAGTTTGTCCAATCACGCTGTAGTCCCAACACACACAACTACTTAGATGAAGTTAGATTAAAATGTTCACACAGGGCTGACCCGAGGCCAAGGAAAGCTCCTGGAGAACAATGCTGTTTGGTGCGTGTGCATCAAAATCCCATAGACATGAGGTTCAGGTTTTGTTTATTATCAACAGCTGGCCCAGAACATAGACTTTCAAAATAGTACACTCTAAGGTTTGGGGTGGTATTCTGGGGGGAGATAGTTGATTATTTGGGCGGGGAGTGGTGGAGGGATTGCCCTTGTAAACCATGGATAAATTGAAGCAACTATTGTCATGCCCTGGCAGCATGATGGAACCTTTAGACTTTTCAACCATTCGTTTAGCAAATACTCATTGAAGACCTGTGAGCCTATTGCTATTTTAAGTATTGGGAGTACATTGGGGTTCAAGGCAAAGTTACTGCCTTCTGGAGATTATTACCTTCTCGTAGATAAGACAGCAACAAGGCAGAATATAGTGACAGGAATGGTGGCAGAGTTTTTATAGGACCATTGGGGAAGAGTCACCTTGAATGATGAAAAAAACCACACCAAGAACAAAGAATAGAGTATCCTAGATAGAACAATGAATTCCCCCAAAACAAGAATACTGGCAGGTTGAGTCCAGTGAGTGAAGGGAAACAATGAATGACAAGGTTTTAGAGATTGGCAAGGATCTGGCTAGTTAGGGCCAGAAATCGGTAGTGACATCAGGCGATGATCCGCTTATGGTGGGAAGCCATGGGAGGGCTTTGAACAAGGGAGTGACATCGCCTGTGGTGTGTTCTGGGAGATGCAGCAAGGTCCGGGGGACTGTTGCAGCCATGCAGGTGAGACATGGAGCAGGGGCCGGGGGATAGTGCGGAGAGAAGTCAGATTCAGGGTATACTCATATTTTAGTGGTGGAGCTGACAGGATCTGGTAATGGAGTCAATTGTCAAGAAGAAAAGGAATGATGATGCCATTAGCTGAGATTACAGAAAAGCAGTGAAGGGACAGATGGCAGGGTATAAAGCAAATCCTGCCTTAAAGTCGTTGAGGGTTAAGATTCCTATTAATTATCCCAACAGAGCCATTGGATGTATGAGTAGAGTTGTGAGAATAAAAAATGGGAAAGCAGGCCGGTCGCAGTCTAATCTCAGCACTCTGGGAGGCAAAAGTGAGAGGATTGTTTTAAGCTCGGGTTCAAAACCAGCCTAGGCAACTTGGTGAGCCATCATCTTTACAATAAAGCAAAAAATTAGCCAGGCGTGGTGGTGCCTGCCTGTGGTCCCAGCTACTCAGGAGGCTGAGGCTGAAGGATCTCCTGAACCCAGCAGGTCAAGGCGGTAGCTGTGAGCGTGCTACTGCACTCCAGCCTGGGTGACAGAGTGAGACTCTGGCTCAAAAATTAAAAAGTACTAAAATGGGGAATCATCACAAGGATAGTATTTAAAACCCCAGTCCCAGATGCAACAACTAGGGATTTTACGTGGGATTAGGTATTTCTTTGTAGTTTTATGGCAACATTTGTCTTAGTTTGTCCATTCAAGATTCTGTATCATTAGAGGGTTTTTTATTGTTTTTAGCTATCTACTTTCAAAAGAGGACTTGTCTTCCAAAAAAGTCTTAAAATAGGGGAATCAGGCCGGGCATGGTGCTTATGCCTGTAATCCCAGTGCTCTGGTAGACCAAGGCAAGAGGACTGCCTGAGCCCAGGGATTCAAGGCCAGCCTGGGCAACTTGGCAAGACCTTGTCTCTACAATAAATAAAAAAAATTAGCCAGAGATGATGGCACACGCCTGTGGGTCCAGCTACTTGGAAGGCTGAGGTACAAGAATCACCTGAGCCCAGCAGGTCAAGACTGCGGTAGCCATGAGCATGCCACTGCACTCCAGCCTGGGTGACAGAGTAAGACTCTGACTCTAATTAATTCATTAATTAAAATAGTGGAATCATAAACCTTGCACTGAATTTTAAAACTTTATCCATGCCAGGCTTGATTGTCATACTTTCCATGTCAAATTTGCTTGTATATCTTTTAGTGTGAATTTTAGTGTGAATTTTGGGGAAATCCAAATCCACGATGGGATGTTTAGAAAGTACTAAAGATAAAGAATCAGTACAAAAGAAGAAAAAAGTCCAGGCCAGGTGTGGTGGCTTACACCTGTAATCCCAGCACTCTGGGGACCAAGCTGGGAAGACTGCCTGAGCCCAGGAGTTTAAGATCAGCCTGGGCAACAAAGTGAGACCTTGTCTATACAAAAAGGCAAAACATAAACCAGGCATGGTGGCACATGCCTTTAGTCCCACCTTAGGAGGCTGAGGTGGAAGGATTGCTTGAGGCCAGGAGGTCGAGGCTGGGGTGAGCCGTGATCATGCCACTGCACTCCAGCCTGGGTGACAGAGGGGCCCTTGAATCATTTTTTCTACCACCACCAACTCTACTTCTCCCAACTTCCACTTTGTGATCTTCCAGTGGTGACTGCAATTAACATTTGTTGTATTCCCTTCCACTATTTTTCCACGCCTTTTTGAAAGTTAAAATCATCACATTTTATAAAATATATAGTTAGATATGGTGAGAGAAAGAGAGTTTCAGGCTCTAAGTCAGTTACTGAGGGGTTTTTTTTCAACTAAATTTCAGTGGAAGATGAGGATCCGTATTTCACTGAGTTTATAAGCCAGTGAGGAGGACACAGGCGGATATATAAATGTGTGATGATGAGAATATATGGAATCAGACCAAGTAAAAAGTCAAAACTGGTTTCACTGGTGATAAAAACAGAAAAGTGACCCAAGTAGAGTCAGGGTGGTTTGGGAAGGCATCTTGGGTTTCTTTCATCACAAAAATGTCCAACAACTTGATTAGGCAAAAGGTGGTGGAAAGGCAGGTCCAGGAGTGGCCAGTAGCAACGAGATGGACAGGATGGAGGTGGAGAATCCCTGATGGTAGCATCTGCATGCACTACATGGAACAGTCTGAAATCATCCGGGTTCTGAGCGAGGAAGAATGAGAAATTCCGCCAACAGCTTTGTGAGAGGGACTCTGACCAGGAGGGATTGGAGTGAGGCCGGAACCCTGTGACATTTGCCTAGATAGACCACTAGCACAGGAATGATGTTGACAAGCAAATGTAAAAGAAGTCGCACAAGAAAAATCCCGATCGGGGGTAAGAAGAAGCAAGCAGTTTGATCGCCTAGGAGATTTCTAGTTAAACATGTCATCGTTCTCCAGATGTAAGTAACTCATAGAGTCAAGCTGCAGCATCTCCCGTTGAACATAAACGTGTATCCTGTTTGCAAATAAAGCTAAATATGGATAATGTATTTTTGACAGGCACGTTTCAATACAAGCAATATTTGATCAAAAAAGGAAAACCTCATGACTGCTAGCCATATTTACGCACAGAAGACAGGTCAAACCTAAGGCCACGTCACACAAAAAAAAAT